AGAATTGTATATTTTTGTCAATGCAACTCAAGATCTATTTAATATCAATAATGATCTCTTAGTTTTATCAATTTTAGTTACATTCCAGTATCAACCAAGTATGAATAGACGATTTTTGTATAAGTTTGATTGTTGTGTTTGTGATGTCACGTATATTTGGGCTAAAATTAAAAAAATTATTATAAATTGATAATAAATCGTTTCATCCTACATTTTATATATGTGATGCATCTCACAGTTTAGATCACCCAGTAAAATTTTGAATTCAAATGATAAGTAAACTATTTGTTCCGAATTTTAACTTCAATTGTTCAGTGCTGAAAAATCTTGTACTGTTATTATATTTGAAGATTTGTTGTGTATTTTTCTGTTGTTATTTTCTACGATTTTTGGATATAACATGATCCTATAAGTTTTATATACTCAATTATGGGGTGAAAATTCTAAATAATCTATAGGTTTGATATTTTCAAGTAAGTGTGTATAGTGCAGTGAACTGCAGTGATATAGACATAGTGGAGCGAGCCTAAAAAACATCATTAGGTCGACCAGACGACCAAACGATTGACAAAATATAAATGATAAGGGAAAGAACGACCCAGACGATCTTGAGCTCAAAAGACAAGTTGTGTAATTTAAACTTACACATCTCGACTTGAGAAGTCTCATGTCTACCTGAGTAGTAGGACAACCTAATAGAGAATGGACAACTTTACTGGAGTATTTTTGTCTTAGCATGATGACCTGAAATGATGTTTTTATAATGACCCGATGACTTACTTGAATAAACTGAATTACACAGGTTAAGAGGGAATCTACTTTGGATAAGAAGGAATCTAATGATGACTAGAACGTGATTGGGATGAGAATAAACACTAAGGAAATAAGATCAAACCCAGAAAGCTGGGCTGGTAGTTGGGTGATTCGAGTAGACTATTTCAGGCAGTTATTCTCCTATAAAAGGGGTTGAGGTACCATTGTGAATCCTATACATACTTATTATAATTATTTACTTATAGAGCTTATTATATCTTTTTTCTTCTCCATACTAACTTAAGCGTCAGAGTGCTAACCCCGCGAGACCCTCCTGGCTCTTTTTGCAGGGCATCTTCAGTGGTTCATGTAGATCGAAGCTCATAACAAGCCGATTTATCCTAGACCAGTGTCGCCACCATATCATTTGGTGTCGTCTATGGGAAGCTTTTAAGGAACTAAGAGATCTCTCACCAGATTGCGATCACTTGAGATGGCTGACAGAGCGGTAGTATAAAGGAACTTGGCTGAGGAGTTTATGAAATGGCTCCATCAAGGAATATCCGAGAGATACTAGTGTTATCATGTCGAATTGAGGGACTCAACAAGTTCATAGCGAAAAAAGTCTCTCTTTTTAACATTGAAGAAAAAGTCGAAATTCATGTATACAGAAGAAGCGCCTGATGGTACAACTCTAGAAAGGTCCTCTTTCGATCCAAGTTCAAAAAAGAGGCAAGGGCTCCTCGTGGGCAGTGGCCTAGTGGTCAGCCAAGAAAGCAGTAAGTTGGCCCAGCTCGGCTCGCAGACGCGAGGCCTCAGACCTCATTTTCAGCTTGGCCTTTTTTTGCCACATGTACCCCTTCAAGCTTAGCCACCTTGACCCTAATAGCATGAAGCCTACCATAGCGGTAGAAAGTTGTAGCATCACCAAAGTGGGACGGTGTCTTCAGATACTCCACCTCAAAGGTCCTCGCCAGATAGCTCCTCGTTCAGCAGATGAGCCAACCCTTGTTCAATGATTTGAATTGTTCAACCTTCTTCCGCAATATGGTATTCTCAAATTTCTACTGTTCATTTGCTCTATCTAGTGCATTGATCTTTCTCAAAAGCACATGGATGATTTTTTGAGACCTGTTACAAATAGGAGGGTCAATCCAAGAAAAAAAAAATTCTATTCTCCATTCTATACATTAACCCAAAAAACACATAAATATCAATTCAACTCTCAGCAAAATCAACTTCATAAAATTTGATTCAATTCAACTTTACCTTGTAGCCGATGCAAGAGTGGAATATCCTGCCTGGGCTTTCAGCCATCCATGATGTGCGAATAGTTGCCATTCTTCCGCACAAGCATTTAAAAAACCAGTAGCGTGCAAAGATTCCGACATGCCCTAACTAGGGTCTATAAGATCGACAATTTCTGATTTTCAATTCTAGGGTTCGTAAGAATTTGAGTATTTAGGATGTTGGCTTTCTGTTTTGATTTCATTTGCTCGTGCAAATCCGATTTTTATTCCAAGTCCCACTTTTTCCACGTGTCTTGCCACGTTAAAATTTAAAAATTTGGTTTAATTTCATGGCGCCATGTGTTTATTTTAGTGTCACAGTGATTCTTCAGTTCCACATACGATTAAATGAATCGTTAATGGTGACACGTGACAAATTCTGAATTTTTGGCGAATCGGGGACCATTTTGTAACCTTTTCGAAACAAAAACGACTAAAATCAACAGCTATTCAAAAAAGGCGAATATTTCGGGTACCAAACATATAAGATTAAAATTGCAATTTTCCCTATTTTTAGTTTGTAATAGTTTTAAGTATTGCTTTCCGATAACCATTAAGTATACCTATACTTTTGGCCCAATTTGTAGGCTCATAAAGTTTGGCCCAATTGGCCTCATATTCCATATTGAATGGCAGCCGACTAAAGTATACCCAACCACGCAAAAATCTACACTTGGGACTAAGACGCTCCACCACCACCACTACTATAATATAAAATCGATAAAATTATAACATTGTTTTCTTCTTCGCTTCGATTCGTCAATTTCAGGCAATAACCATCCGCGATCTGTGAAACCCTAATTTGTTAATTCTTTCCTCAGGTGAGATACTCTTTCTTTATAAACTTCTCCGTTCTCAATTCTCTTTTGCGCCGGTCTTAAGCTTGGTTTGTGTTTAGAGGGTACATATATTGGTTTGCTATCCTTTGTTTGATTGTGGGTTTGCGAAGCTGTGGCAATTTGATTAGATTCAATCCTTTGGGAGATCTACGTTAGGTTTTGGGTGTCGTTGATGATTTTGATTAGGTTTCTCCATTTATGTGAAGTTCTATTTGGGGAGAATGTAGCTGTGTTATTTATTGTTTGTTTTGCGAGGATAGAACTGGGTTTTGGTGGAGAAACTCTTCAAACCCTAAAAATTTGCCAAATATGGTTTTCATTGACTCCCAATGAATATATGGTTGGTGAATGTTGAGGGTATACAACTCATAAGTGTTCGAGTAATTGGAGAAGAATCTTTAGAATGCATGAGAGAAGTCCGTTTTCTCGTTTTAAAGGAATTAGATTAGGCCTTGTCAAAAGTTTGAAACTTGGTTCTTGTGTGGTTTATAATATCCTTTTTCTGATTAATTTGTATGATCTCGGTGAAGCTGATTTAATATTTATGGTTATCAATGGATTTGGACTTTAGTTTGTTTACGATTTGCAGCTTGGGCTGTAGTGCGGGATGTCGTCTGTTTCTAGCCAGCCACAGTTCCGCTACACCCAACCTCCATCAAAAGTTCTCCATTTGAGGAATTTACCATGGGAATGTACTGAAGAGGAATTGATCGAACTGGGGAAGCCATTCGGGAAAGTTGTTAACACAAAGTGTAATGTTGGTGCCAATCGAAACCAAGCTTTTATTGAATTTGTAAGTCTAAACTGTTGCTTCATTCATGGGCTTCCATTTGAATCTTTTGAACTGATGTTATTTTTTTTTTATTTTTTTTTTCAGGCAGAACTAAACCAAGCTATTGCTATGATATCGTATTACGCATCATCATCTGAGCCAGCTCAGGTACGAGGGAAAACCGTCTACCTACAATATTCCAACAGGCAAGAAATAGTGAACAACAAAACTACTGCAGATGTTGCTGGGAACGTGCTTTTGGTGACAATTGAAGGGAATGATGCACGTCTTGTCAGTATTGATGTCCTACACTTGGTAAGTGAGTAACACCTTCGTGATATGGGCACAATGTAAATTCACCTATAGGACATCGTGTGTGATATATGTGTCTAGATTGAAGAGTCGTGCTCTCTATGGCTTTTATTTGACAAGGGTCTAAATGAATCAGCAGGCACATGTCAAAGAAATACCTTCAATGGAAGCTTATTGATTCGGGAGAAAGAGCACATGTGTGTTTGTCTTCTTTTTCCTTGCTTAACACTGCCTCTTTCTTCCCTTCTCCCCCTTCGTGATTCTAGCCCTGACTTTTTTTGAAACCTCATATAGATTTCTTTCCTTTTTGGGATCTCTGTACTGTTTACTTCATAGTATGTTGCTTGTTCTTTTGTTAGAAACCTTTACATTAATCTTTAACTTATATTTTTAATTAATTAGTTTATTTATCCTTTTTATTTGAAATTTTCTCAAAGTTGTTTTATTTTTTATTCTCTTATATTTTGATCACACGAGAGGTCCCTTAATTCCTATCCTGTTTTTAACTAGAGTGGGTCAGGACGAGCATGATTCTGAAACTTCAGGTGCAACTTCTAGGAAACAGTTAATGCTCTAGGTTATGAAGTATTTAACCTAACCTCTGAAACTTGATGAAATTATTTGTGTTTTTTAACCCTCTAGAATGCTTCCTTTTGAATATTCTGTCTATAGACGATCTAGAAAAATTAGATTTGCTTAATTCATTTTTTTGATACAATTAATGATGTCTTCTCATTCTGTATTGTTTGTGAGAGAGGATAATTAGTTTTAGCAAATTCCTTTTGCATAAATGTATGATTGGGTGCACCTATACACTCATTTCTGCTCATTTCCTGTGATATTGCTTGACGCAATGTCGTTGGCTGCTTTGATAGTTTTGCTCTTAGTTATATGTTGGGGACTTTGGCTGTCTAATAGAAGATTCCTCTCTTTTTAGTTGCTGGGAAATGATCTGTAGATTACAGTTTGCTTCTCAAATGGTGTGGGTTTCTCAGATTTTCTGTAGTCCGACTTATCTTTGTCTGTGACCTGTTTTTTATGTGTGAAAGATGAAAGCATGATATCTGTTGCCTAATTTTTTTTAGTTGCTCTTTTTTGCTAATTGACATTTAATTTACATTTACGTTACCAATACTGAGTTGGATGTTATCAGTTCAAGTAATAAAATTTTGTTTGGTGTGCAGGTATTTTCAGCATTTGGTTTTGTGCATAAGATTACTACCTTTGAAAAGACTGCTGGATTCCAGGTTTGTTTGTTGATGAAATCTTTTTCAGAAATGTTCATTTATATACATTTATATTTAATCTGTGCCATATGATCTCCATGTTTATTTTCTCCTTAATTAGGCACTGGTGCAGTTTTCTGATTCAGAGACCGCTTCTGCTGCCAAGGATGCTCTTGATGGAAGAAGCATTCCAAGGTGATCTGGATTTTTATATTTGGGTTTGGATGTATCCCCAACTGATATGAATACATTGGGCTGGACATCTTTCAGCAGCTTTATTAAGAATCTGCTAAAGGGGTACATGCATGTTCCTTACCCCCACTCTACCTCGCATTACTAAGTTATTTCCTTGTCTCCTTTTAGGCTTCTACCTTCTGTTTTGAGGGCCATTCTGGTTAAGTGTTTCCTTATTGGTCAGTTATGGTCCGAATCACTAACATATTTTGGGTGGGATATGAGCTGTCAGAAAGTAGTGGGGATTTGAGCTGACAATTAAATGACCAATATGTAAAGTATGGAAAATAAGCTGTATGTGTGTCTTTCACCATATTTTGCGTCAAGTTTGTCACACTTGCTTTTTGTGCACAATATCTTTACGAACTTAGTTTCACCAATATAGAAACTCTGCAGGCTAATATTATGTTTTCCTTGGTACCCAAGTTCTTAGAATTGAGTAGATTGGGCCTAGGATGGGCTATAAGACATTTTTGCTAATTAAATGTTGAATAACATGATAATACCTGGTCTATGCACAGTGTTCTTGTTGATTTACTGCTCCCGTGTTGGTCCGTGTCAGGTATTTGATCCCAGAGCTTGGACCATGTTCACTTAAAATAACATATTCTGCACATACAGACCTGAGCGTAAAATTCCAGAGTCATCGTAGTAGGTAAACCGAATTTACCGATTGCTTTATTTTATGAACCTATAATACAAGATTATTGTTTTGGATATATCTTGACCAATGACCATAGAGGCCTATTTATGTTTTAGGCTAATACTTAGAATTCTGTGTTGATTTAGGGACTATACCAATCCAATGCTCCCTGTTGCTCCCTCAGCTATAGATGCAAGTGGCCAGGTAGATCTCTCTCTCTCTCTCTCTCTCTCTCTCTGTGTGTGTGTGTGTGTGTAGCATGTGTGTGTTGAATCTGTAGCTTATAGGTTCTGCCTGCCTTGTTGCAGTTCAGCGTAGGAGTTGATGGCAAGAAATTGGAACCAGAGAGCAATGTTCTACTTGCTTCCATTGAGAACATGCAATATGCAGTTACCTTGGATGTGCTACATACGGTAACAATCTTCAGGCACGATCAGCCTTTAGAGATCATTTGTTACTTAAATACTCACTGTGATTCTATCTTGTGCACAGGTCTTCTCTGCATTTGGACCAGTCCTAAAAATAGCCATGTTCGATAAAAATGGGGGTCTTCAAGCCTTGATTCAGTATCCTGGTAAGACATACTAAATTGCTTGAGGTGTGAAATTGTGACGTCTTCAAAGCATCCTGTCAAGAAGTCTAATAGTTGGAAACAATACTAGATCACAATATTCACAATGTAGTCGACTTGCAGATGTCCAGACAGCTGTTGTGGCAAAAGATGCCTTAGAAGGCCATTGCATATACGACGGAGGATATTGCAAGCTTCATATCTCCTATTCTCGACACACTGATCTCAGCATTAAGGTGAGGCAAATGTTACCTTTGTCACAATTCCATATGTTTATAAAATCCGCCAGCCCTAAGTTTTAATCTAATCACAAAAATGGTTTAAGAATTGGAAAATATATTAACAAATTATTAAGTTACAAGAATCAAAGAGGTTTTTTATTTTGATAGATAATTGTATCTTTTAAACTGTACTTTTGAGTTTTAACTTATTCGCTATATTATGTAAAAGAACCTTGCATTTCATGATTTGTGGCAAGTGGAGCCATGGACTGTGAGCTATGTTTGTCGTTTTCAGGTCAATAATGATAGGAGCAGAGACTATACAATCCCTAACACTCCCGTGTTGAGTTCTCAACCCTCGATATTAGGGCAACAACCTTATGCTGTTGGAGGTCCAGGTGTCCAACCCTTTGGTGGACCACAATATGCACCTGATCCCCGTGCAATGCCTCCCCCTTCGGCCGGTTGGAACCCAGGTCTCATGCCTCAATCTATGCCAATGCAAATGCATAACTACCCTTATGGGCCACCACCTCCTGCAGGAGCACCTCCAATGGGCCCAGGTGCAGGCCCAATACCACCCAACACCCAGAATGGGCTGCCACACTCTTCTCCGATTCGCCCTTATCATCACCAATAGCAAATTCCAATGTAGTGAATGACCCAGCAGTTCATAGCGAGTCCTTATAGGAAGGAGTGATTTTATTCCCTTTCACTTTTTCTCTATATTCTGCTATATTTTCTTTTTCCATGAGATATGATTCAAGAATCTTGTTGTGGGTTACTTCAAAGCTTCTTTTGCAACTCAAATGTGCTTATGGGAGATCAGGTGTTGATTGCCATCGATTTGGTTTTTTATGTTGCTGTTCTGTACTTTGTTTTTTAGTTAAATTGTAGATTGAAAAAATGAGTGCAACCTTGTGCAGTCAGCATATTGGTGTTGTTTCTTGCTTTCTCTAATCGACTCCAAGCGATTAATTTTGGAGTTACTTGTGCTGGCATCTTATAGAACTGCAGAAAATAACTCCAATGAATGGGCTTGGCTGGTACTTGCATTTGATGATTTCAACAGTGAGCTACGAGCTTTTAATCTTTTATAGACATGGACTTGGCTTGTGAGGGTTAATTTTTGTTGAGTATGGTTTGGATGAGTATTAGGTAGTAAATTCTAGCTAGTATTTTAAGGGGGTGTATCCATATGGGATATCTAAAGGCTTTTTAATACTTTAGAAATCCTGACGTATTCAGTTTAGATTTGTTAAAACTTTTTAAGACTTTTAAAAGTCGGTATTCAATTGAGATTTTAATAATTCTTACAAAATGTTGAGTTATATAACTTATTGACACTAGGATTTGTTTAGACTTTTTAAAATTTGGTGAGGTTTCTAAATAAAAAAACTTTATATGTAAGTCAACTTCAAATCGTACTTCCATACTTAAGATTTCACCTAATTCTTTCAATATCTGAAAATCTTAAAAAGTACTTTCTCTTAATTTTATTATTTATCACTTTAGCTTAATTCATCATTGATTAAATAAATATCATTTTGGCTATTTTGTTCATATTTTTCCATTTTAACACTCCATCTAATACACAGTGTCTCTGCATTTCCTATCTCCATCATTTCCCATAACATCCATTAAATAGAGTTAATACTGGTAAGAAATTTTTTATTAATTAGTGTGTTGCTTCTCAAAACAACAAATAATAAAAATAGGAGGGAGTATTAAAATATCATTTAAAATCTCAATTGAACACACTTCTAAAGAGCATGTACAATGCTTTGGGTCTAATTGTGCTTATGTGACATGTAAAATAAACTTAAATATTAGACGGCATGGAGAAAAATATATAAAAGTAAGAGTATGTACAATGCTTTGGGTCTAGTTTGGCTTACATGTCATGTAATAGACTTAAGTCTTGTATGACATGGACAAAAATATTGAAAAGTAATGAAAATAACTCCAATGCAAAGAGACTCGGTCTCTACTTGGGTCTAAAATAGACTCAAGGGTAGACGGGGTCTCATTTTTTTGCTGCTACATCACCAGGACTTAGTCCAATTACATTTGCATTGAAGTAAATATTTTTCTAGACTAAGTTTATTTCCTACGAGGCTTGTATATATTTTTTTCAAAGAATCTAAAGTATTGTGGATGCTCTAACAAATTGAACCCTAATGCAAAGAGACTGTCTCTACTTGGGTCTAAAATAGATTTAAGGCTAGACCGAGTCTCTTTTTCTTGTTGCCACATAAACAGGACCCGGCCCACTTGCACTTGCAGTGGAGTATATATATTTCTAGATTGGGTCTATTTCCTATGTGGCATGTATATTATTTTAAATGAACCCAAAGCACTGTACATGCTGTTGCCTCAGTTTGACAATGATGGTAAGCACCACCCATCAACGAATACAACACCAATTTATAACAATGAGCAACAAACTTTGACAATGGCGACTTTTGTGGGCAATTTAAAACATAAAAGCAACTCTAAAGGGGAGTTGGTAATTTTATCTTTTTGTGTAATTAAAAGTTGAAATATAGGGGTGTAACTGCATCCATCTTTAACTAATTAATTAAGAAACAACCATAGAGGACATTATTTTCAAGTTCTAAAAAGTTAATGAGACTTTACAAAAGTCCCTAGAACAAGAATGAGATAAAACCACATGTTTCGTTACAAACTCCAAACATGTATGAGGAGTCTTCCTCATCGCGAGAAAGTGTTGTACAAAGACCCTTAAAAAAAAGGTCTTGAAATCAAACGAGTCGTCGAATTGGTGAAGCTACAAGTTCAATGATTTACAAGTCGGACCACTGATCAAACCAGTCGAAACGGTTTAGTTAATATAAATTTTTTTATTTATTTTATATGTATAATATATAATTGTATATAGTATCATCTATAAATTTTATAGGGTATAATAACATTTCTATAAATAAGTCAATATATATAACCGACAATGTTGAATAATGCTGATGATTTTTTTTATTTATATTTTGATTTATATTTAAGTCAAAAAATAGAGAAAATACATATAGCTCAAATTTGTATTTGAATTTTAAAATCAGATTTTATATTTCTTATTCTTTTCAATTTTTTTTTTTATTTTTTTATATTCACAAATCACAACATATATATTGAATTATTCATACATTTGAAATCATAAAAGAACATCAAATAATTTAATGTGGTACATCTATACAACATAGTACCATAATGTTGACATGTATGAGAGAAAAGGAATTAAAGAGATGGAAAGAAGAGACAAAGCAAAAGGCTAAAAAATTCTAAACTTATTGTAAAGATGTGGAATTTACCACTAATCATTTACATTATTATATTAGGATGTATTAAATTGTGTGCCAAACTTTGCCTATAAAAGGCAAGTGATATCTTACAAAGTGCTGTAGGAAAAAGAAGAAGAGAGAAAGGAAAAGCTGGTAATAATTTGTATCCGGTTTTTTACATTGTGTTTTTTATTTTCATCGTATTTTATAACACATTATCAGCACGAGTGCTCTACCCGGTCAAGAAAGGTAGGATATATATACATATTACCATTTATTCTTGACAAGTTAGGCTCTGCCACAGTCAAGGATATATATACATATTACTATTATTTTTGACAAGTTAGGCTCTGCCACAGTCAAAGATATATATATATTACCATTATTCTTGACAAGTTAGGCTCTGCCACAGTCAAGATATGTATACTAAATATGATATTATCTACACATTACCATTATTATTGACAAATTAGGCTATGCCATAGTCAATAATATGTGGTGATATGATATTATTAAATTTGCTTATGAATTATTATTCAGTTATAATAAGTATTATTACTTATACTTAACACCCACAAAAATGGTTTACCCAGTAATGTGGCGTGAAATTTATAACTGTTTATTCTTGAACCCACCGAAAGATTTATCGAGTAGTGTGGAGTGACATTTTATTTGATTTGTTATTAAATTGTTTACGTAATGACTCGGTGAATTTTTAAGGTAATATACATGATTAATTAGAATTTTATGATCATAAATGATTAATTAACAAATATTATATCATTAAATTTGTTTCCAACGGCTAGTTAACGATTATTTTTGTAACGGCTATTTACCAATATCTATATATAACACTACAATTCATTTTCATAATCCAAACAATCAAAATATATTTTTTTTAAGAAAAAAAATGTATGATCCATTACTTATAATTACCATTATCTTGTTTATTATATACGTTTTGCTAATTTTCACGATGATGTATCGTACTGTTGGATTTAAATTTTATGTATTAGGCCTTTGTATAATGTGTTTAGTATTTGCTCTTTTGTATGTATTGAAGAATTAATGATTGTATATGTAATTTTTCGAATCTAAGCATTGATGTTTTATTTTATAGTTATCATGGCAAATCTGGTCAAACTCGAATTTGAAGCTCTCGATATATCTGGGAAAAATTATATCTCGTGGACATTGGATGCCGAAATTCATTTGGCGGCAAGGGGATTGGAAAAAACAATAATATCCCCAAATGATTCATCAATACAGGATAAAGCTAAAGCAATGATATTTCTGAGGCATCATTTGAATGAGACATTGAAAAATGAATATTTAACTGTAAAAGATCCTGCAGATCTCTGGAAAGCCTTGAAAGAAAGGTATGATCACCAGAAAACATTGATTCTCCCCCGGGCTCGTTATGAATGAATGCATTTACGCTTCCAAGATTTCAAAACTGTAACATACAATTCAGCCATGTTCCGCATTTGCTCGGTATTAAAATTATGCGGAGAAAACATAACTGATTACGATATGCTGGAAAAGACGTTGTCCACGTTCCACGCCTCAAATGTACTTTTGCAGCAACAATACAGAGCGAAAGGCTTTGTGAAATATTCTGAGTTAATTTCTTGTTTGCTGCCGGCTGAACAAAATAATGAATTCTTGATCAAAAATCATGAATCTAGACCCACAGGGTCTACTGTGGTCCCTGAAATAAATGCTGTAACATCTAAACAGGGAACCGGAAATAAAAACAGCCAAACACATATGCGTGGATATACCTCGGGACGTGGCCGGGGTCGTGGACGTGGACGTGGCCGTGGATATGGTCCAGACCGCCGATTTGACCGAGGCCACAAATTTCACCCAGGATATAACTCGGGCCGGGGATATAATCGTGGGCGAGGCCGTAACTATGCCCAAAATTATGAAAGGGGGAGAAATTTTCAGCCAAAATTTGAACAAAATAATGTGACGGAGAATAATGATGAAAAGCCATGTTATCGATGTGGAAGGACGGGGCATTGGGCACGAAATTGTCGTGCTCCAAGACAAGTTGTTGATAATTATAACAATTCCCAGAAATCAAAAGATAAGAATATTGAAACCAATTTTATGATTGGGGAACCCTCTGAAAATGATTCAACACGTGTGGATGATGAATATGGCATCGATGACATATTGAACCTAGATTTTGCTGATGCGGTAGTTGAAGACCAAGCTGGAAATGAACAAGAAAATAACTGATGATCATGTTTTTATTGCTTTCTTAGTTTTGTTGTATTTGTGTGTTTTTATCTGTATTTCGACTTTAATTAATAATAAATGTTGTTTTCTTTTA